TGGGGAGCTTAAACCTCCTACATCTAAATTTGACGCTCGCCTATTTTGCCTTGTTTATCTTTTCATAGTTCGCCAGAACAGTAATTTGAACGGTTGACTCCACCCATGCAAATGAATTGTGGAAAGTGCGAAGGTGGGAATGCGTAGCCCTTACACTTGGCTATAACGAATTCAGTGCAGAACGCGATAGACTAATTATACTTTTAAATCAAAGTTCGAGTCAAATAAGCACTTAATGTAGGTTACCCTTGATTGGTTACTACGGCTCTTAACCTGAAACATTCTTAGACTTTGAAGAAAGAGACACGATCGCCGGGACAAGAGCTTTATTAGCCTGACGTTTCGGATTCCTACTCGAATCCATCATCAGAGACAAAAGAGCAGAAACGGGTGGTTGTTGCACAAGGGGCTGCGGTATTTATAGGATGCAGCAGCCATGCTACCGCATACCTATGAACGTTCACGGCTTCCCCCTTCATCCGGGATTGTCACATTTGGTGTGATCATTGCTTGATGGCCGACATTCGAGTCGATAATTGCCGCAATTTCATCACGTGCGTTGGATGTTGGCGTGATGATTGCTCGACCATCTTATGCGTTGACCCGGGTGTTGGGAAGAGTGTTCACCAGTGCGCTCCCCGCGTGGCCAATTACTCCGCCTAGACGAAGTCTCAGCACACTGTATTGAATGGGAAGATCGTTGCACTTGTTGATGGACTGGGGGCAAGTAAACCACGATTCCAGTAGATCCCGGCTCACTCGGTTGTCACCTCTTGCGAGAATTTCGGCCTCATCGAATTTAACTGTGTGGCCGGATCTCGTCGAATGAGCCGCAACTTGAGAGCTGGCGTCATTTCTGCGCACCGCTGCCGCGTGTTCGGCCATTCTCGTTCGGAGCTGTCTTCCGGTTTCTCCGACGGAGTTGCTTTGTCCTCAACTGCACCAGATCCGATAAACGACTCCAGACGTTTCTAGCCGTGGCAGTGGGTCTTTCGGTTTCATGATCAGACGCCTGATGGTTGCCTCCGGTCTGTGTGCCACTCCAACCCCAAGTGGTGCGAGAAGGCGGCCGATAG